CCCTCTCTTCCCCTCTCCACCTACCGCAGCCTATTATTTTAAAATGTGACCATTCATCTTCTACCAATATATCCTTTTGTCTTTCTTCAACAAGCATTATCTTCTGTGTTACTGCCTGTCTGTTTATGAACCTGTTGAATATGTGATCTTCAAAGGTAAAGATAGGACTGTATTAGGTCCCTTCCATCATTTGTGTCTTTGAAAATTTATCTCTTATACTTTTCTGCCTTTGAGTACTCAACCAGATTTTTTGTCTATTATTCAATCTATGCACTGTTAAAATGAAATACCATAAATTCTGCAGGGTATTAACTTCAGTGAGTTCAGTATTGGTGAATGGTGATGGATTGACACAATTACAGAGTAAATTACTTGTTAAAGCCAATAGATCAGTAGCAAGATAGAGGACAAAGATATATAGTACCTCATATTTTGCATGCATGCATGCACATGTACACACACACACACACACATACATTTCAACCAATGTCTCTTTTATTGGATGCAGAAGATAACATGCTGGAAGAAGCTGACTCTAGGCCTTAAAACATGCTATTGAGATACACAAGTTCCAAGAAACATATAACATGACACAACAATACTTAAACAACATCCAAAAATGTATCTGCTACCAGCTATTGCAAACTAGTTCCTCTTACATGTAAGCAGAGAAACATACAGAAAACCCATATATCATAATCAAATATACAAACACACATGTGAATCACACAAAGATACCTTATCCTTGCAAAGAATTTTCTTTTTCTGATCATCATGTGAAAGTCTACACACACACACACACACACACACACACACACACAGTCATGAGTTCAGAAAACCCCTGAAACATAGGCTTAACTTTAATCCTGTACATTTTTACATTGGAATCAGTTAGGCAAACCATACTTTTAAAGTTACATATGTGTTTAGGTGTACTGGTAGAACACAATGGGGCCTTGAATCTGGTTGCAGATTGTAGAAACTACTGCTATAGAAAGATAAGTGACATCTTTTCTATGAGGAAGTAGGATAGAAAGCAATAAAACTAATTTAATTTCCTTACTGCTGTCCATCCACCAACAATACCCAGATAGTATCCTAACGATGACATGTCTGCATTACATCCCTACAGGTGAAGTGTGCAGTGGAAATGACACAGTGGAATAACTCTGTGATAATGGAATTCATGCTTCTAGGAATCTCACATCGCACAGAACAGAAGCTCCTGTTCTTTCTCATCTTCCTGTCCATCTACATCTTCATCCTGTTTGGAAATATTCTAGTTATCCTTGCCACATTGTGCGACCCCATCCTGTGCACACCTATGTACTTTTTCCTCAGGAACCTGGCCTTCCTGGATATCTGCTATACCACAGTCACCATTCCCAAGATGCTGATCAACCTCCTTATGGAGAAGACAACCATCTCCTTTGTTGGTTGTTCCATTCAGATGTACTTCTTTCTTTTCTTGGGCACTGCAGCATGTTATACCTTGGCTGTCATGTCCTATGACCGCTATGTAGCGATCTGCAACCCTTTTCACTATACGGCCATCATGACCAAGAGGATCTGCATCCTGTTGGTCTCAGGGTGCTGGGTTACTGGCATGTCCGTGTCCCTGGGGCAAACAGTTTTAATATTCAGCATGCCCTTCTGCAACTCCAATGTTATCAATCACTTCTTCTGTGATGTGCTGCCAGTTATGAAACTCATTTGTGCAGAATCATACATGAATGAGGAGGTGGAAGTGATTCTAATGAGTGTTTTAATCATTTTCATCCCTTTTACCCTCATTTTGGTTTCCTATATTCACATAATTGCTGCCATCATTAGAATCCCATCAGTGTATGGGAGGTACAAGGCAGTCAACACGTGTTCCTCCCATCTTACATCTGTTTTCTTGTTCTATGGCAGTGCTATGTTTATGTATTTAAGACCTAAATCCAACTGGCAGCCAGACCTGGATAAACTGCTTTCTCTCCTCTACACAGTGGTCCCAGCCACGTTGAATCCCATTGTTTACAGTCTAAGCAACCAACAGGTAAAAAGGGCACTAAGGAAAGTGTTAGGCAGGAACACAGTTTCTCAAAACACATGAATGGGTTTATCAGAAGTTTGTGGTGATTAAGGGCTTGAATCTTCTCTTGGTTATACTGTTGTAATTCAGAAGTATTTCCATTTATTGTAATAGCCCTATATCTCCCCTCTGTCATTTACTGTATTTTAAATCAGAAGTAATTCCGCTGTTGTTAACATCAAAGGCTTTATGCACATTGAGAAATTAGTGCACAGTAAAGCAGGGTATGATATTACTGTACCTTAATTTCACCATCTTTCTATTTCACTCAAGTGTAAATCGAGAATAATCCCATTAAGTTCAGTTCAGTGATTGATGACAATCTCAGTTTCACCAGTATAAAAACAGCATAACCAATAAATTACTCTGGATTTACTTCGGTATAATAAGGAAGAGAATCTGGCCCATTATCTTTTACATTTTGCACATCTAAAATAAGTTCACTTCTTACATGGAGCAAAGATGATGTGTCTGATCCTCTTCACCTTATATTTGTGACATTGTCAACTTTACAGACAGACACAGAGTTACTTTTGCTATAAATACTGTGACTGAGATCAGCATCAGGCTCAATAACTTTGATTCTAGTCTTAACAATGCATAAATAGAGAAAGCATGATAATCATCTATACCTAGAGCACTTTAGGCAAGTCTAGCTCTTAAATGGATTTGAAAGTAGATGCAAAATATTGGTGTGCCTATTTTAAAGTCCATTTCCCCTGCCAGCATATTGTAAAGGGGTCTTATAGTGTAGATGAGAATCCTGCTTCATGTAATTCAGTGGAAATCAATAGGTGAAATAGTACTCTCACTTAGACTGGAGCAAAGCAGAAACATTTACACTAATATTGCGCAAAATCAAGGTATGTGGTAGAAGAGATAAGTCCATTGGCTTGACAGACAGAAGGTATTTAATCTAGTCAATATTTTGGAAAAAAATAAAAGAAAACTATAGGTCTGAGAAATGTAAGCTATAAGATTTATGTGAAGTAATAAAAAAATATCTTTTCAACCTTGTTTCTTTTTCCAATCATTATTTTCAAATAACCGAATATTTCTGTGACTAGCTTCTTTGTGTACAGAAAAAATAAATAAGTAGTTTTTCAAAGAGGAAAATACTTTCAAGAGGCAGGCTCTTAAGCCAAGCTGAACCGGTTGCTAGCATGTGTGCTTGCATTATTTCAACTGATAGAGACCTCCATGTGGGTGGGCCAAGTCAGGATTTTTTTTTTACAGAATTTCCCAACCACGACCAAGTGAAACACTCATGGAATGTTGTTCAAAAAGGAAATGTTTCAGCCAGAGGACGTACATAGGAATCCTGGTACTCTTTGGCTGAAATATTTCAATATGTCTCAGCCACCTCCAGTGACAGCCAAGTGGAGCAGGCTGTAGCAATGTGAGACTCTACAGCAGGGGGTGGCAAAATATGTCCCATGGGGTGAATTCAGCCTTCTAGGTAATGTCATACAGTCCGCAGGGCCCCCCTGTGAGCCCCCTATAAGCCCTGGCCCTCGCTGCCCCTCTGCAAGCTGGTGCCTTCATGCAGGAGGTGTGGCTCCAGTTGCTAAGGACCCACCCCCAACCCCAGTGTGGTCTGACCCACCCCAGCTGTGAACCAGGGCCACTAGAGACAAGAAGACCCTGCCTAGCAGAGCTTTTGCCTGGCTACCCTGTGACTGTTTCCAGCCTCCCTCCCAGTGAGAGTGGGAATTCAGATATGGGCCCCACCGGGCCTGGGCCAGGGACTCCTGTTGGAGGAAAGGGGGTGTGAACATGGGAACCACATACTATGGGGCCAGGTTGGGCTGGCCCTGCATGCTATGGGAGCACAGGAGTTGCACGCTAAGGGGCTGGGTGGGACTGGCCCCACATGCTGCCAGCACATACGGCTGGGGACATGAGCAGGAGCACTATTGGGCCGGGTGGGGCTGCTCCCACTCACTGCTGCTACGTGCAGCCAGGGATCTGGGCGGAAGCTGCATATTATGGGGCCAGGTGGGGTTGGCCCCACACTGCCACCACCTGCAGCCGGGGACTAGGGTGGGAGCACGGGGAGCTGAACACTATAAGGCCAGGTGTTGCTGGCTCCACTCACTGCTACCACATGTGACTCCAGTGACTAGCACACTGAAGGGACTCTGAAGACCCCCCACACAGACACCCTCCTACACACCCCAGCCCCACCCACCGTGTCCTCAACATACCCCCACACCCTCCCATAGGCTCCCCCACACTCCCAGCCCCACACTCACACCCTCCCATGCACCCTCACCCCAACCACATACCCAACATCCTTCCACACCCACCTCTCACCCTCCCACACACACCCCACCCATCATACCCACACCCCACCACACACACACACACCTACTCCCCAACCACACCCCCTCACATACACCCCCTTACCCTCCCACAATATATAAGAGTAAGACTGAATTTTGGGCTATGATGCAATCACTTCTAGATATACTAAACAAACACACATATATCGGAACAACAATATTTAAAAAAAATAATAAATTAAATTATAGAAGATGTTTGATTTTTTTTTTTAGTATTTTTTTTACCAGTTTCAAGATAGCAACTCCCCCTCCCAAAATAAGTACTTCTGGGGTGAGGGGAGTGTCTTCTTGTGGCAAAGGTCAGAGGTTAGGGGTGGGACTTCTGATCCCAAGATGGTGACCAAGGGGTGGGGCACCTGTCAAGGGGCGAGGCTACCCTTGTGGCCCCCGAGAGCTCACCAAAACTATTTAAGCAGTGCTTCTAGTCAAAATAATTGCACTCCTCTTCTCTCCAGGGAGAGGATAGGAAAGGTAACCATGGGTGAAAGAGGGGGAGAGGTGGCAGGAGCTCCCAAATCCCCCTGAAACTGTTCTCTTCTCCTTGGAGAAGGTAGGAAGGCAGAAGGGATTGGGACATGAAGGCCCTACTCCCACATTAGCGGGAGCCCCAGGAGTCAGCAGATTCTGGCAGAGGGGTGGGGGATTAAGCCCTGTTTTAGCCCCAACCCAGCTTCAGTGTGCTTCTCCTACACACACATAACAAAATTAAAATGGTAACATTAAATGAGTATCTCAGTTAGAGGCACTATGTTGGCTTGTTTCAGCCATTGTTGGAATGTTCAAAGGGCTTATTTGTGTGGACAGCCCATTCTTTGAAAAAGTTCAAAGACATTTGAAATGATTTGTTATATCTGTCCACTCCCTCAGAGAGTTGAAAGTAGACATACAGTGAAATTTGGAAAGACAACCAAGAGACTGTAGGAATATACATTGCTTTGAAAAATCAGTGGGACTTGTGCTCCTCAATCACTTGAGGTCAGAACCATAAAGGTATGCAGGTGCCCAAACTTGCAGGTAGCCATGTAGTGGCAATTTCAAAAGCATCCCCACAGGTCAAGTTCCTAACTCAAAAAAGCTCCAAAATCTAAGTTGAAAATCCAGCTAGTGATGGAAGATGGAGCTGGTTATGGGAGACAGTAGGTGCACCTACATGAGATGTTTACTGCAGAGCTGCCAAATTAGGCAGCTCTGCAGTAAATATCTTTGCATCAATGCGTGCACCCTTATTAGGGTGCACAAAATGAATAAACTCCAGAGCAGGCTAGTACTTGTAAATAAAAGTACTAGCCTGCTCAGGAATTTTTTCATACACATCAGTGCATGTGTACACACTCACCTGGCTGGCTGGGGCGCAAAGGTGCTCCAGTGCAGGAGCTGCCTGCTGACTAGCACTTCATTGAAGCCCCCTCGTACCCCAACCAGGCCTTCTGCAGTGCACTGAACCTGGTCAGAGCAGTCCTGGGCTGCTGCCCGGCGAGGACTTCTCTGACTGGACTTAATGTGTTGCACACAAATAAGCTCTGAAGCAATATACTCTGGAGTTATTTGCTCCTGGGCACACATTACAATGGTGCACCTGGGAGAGTTTATTCATGCACGTTAACTGCATGTGTAGACTGGCCCACTAGTGAGCACCAGCCACAGGCAAATCCCAAGAGAGGCCTGCAGAGGCTTCCTTTGCAGATTGTGTGGAATTTGTAGCTAAACTAAAAGTATCTGTACTAAGTCTACTGCTCAGCCTGAGTAACCTCGAGCATGCTGAGAGCCACCCATGCCTTGTCTCCATGGCCTCAGCAGTGAGGTATATAATATCATCATCCTCCTCACCCTCCTGCAGTGCACCCCACTGCCCAAGCTAAGGAAGAGGCATGGGTGACTTACAGCAGCTGCCTTGGAAATAAAGATACCATCTTGGCCCTGGAGGGCCCTGGTAAGGACTGGACAGCTCAGGCTATAGAGGACTTCCAGTTTTTCCCTGGGGCCTCACTTGCTCCTACTATGGAGCAATGGATACCAAAGGAGCTGGGCCACCAGCCTCAATGTTCTGCTCCTCATAACTAGAATAGATAGTGCTGAAATAAAAGTATTTTTCCCTCACCCAGGCTCCAAAGTTGGACATCACAGTAGATTGTATATGTGCAAGCTTTCCCCGCCCTCTCTATGCATCTAGCCGGACAGAAATTCTGGTTAGTGAAGTATTCCAGTTATTTAAATGCCAGATAGTGGAGTTTTTACTGTATTTGGTTCTCTTAATTCTATCTTGTACTCAGTTGACAATTTTCCTATGCCTTGAAATGCATCATAAAACTCTTCTTCTATGTTCTTGCTTTCTTGTCCCTCAGTAGCACCCATTCTCTTAAAACCTAGAGTTCTACACATTTGCAATCCAATAATTAGCACTAGCTTTCCTGGGACTGTTACAAATTGAACTTTTTCTATATTATTTCTGTCTAACATGCAGTGCACAAAGACCCTTGGTTGTAATCACATTCCCATTATATGCTCTAAGTGTCACTTTCTTATTCTCATAGTATACAGGTTTCATTTTCATTTTTTGAATAATGTATTTTGGTATTACATTGACCTGTGCCCCTGTATCTAATTGAAAAGTTACCATTACTCCAGGGGTGCTGGCAAAAAGGGGTTCTTGTTACAGATCTTCCTTCTCTGTAGCTC